ATATTTTCGTATGCCTTTTGTGGTTTGCTTTATCGCGTTTGTGGTTTGCATTGAAAAGTTTCTGGTTTGCTTTATCGTGTTTGTGATTTGTATTGAGAAGTTTCTGGTTTGCTTTCAAAAATTTGGTGGTTTGCATTGAGGGGTTTGTGGTTTGTTTTAGGAGATTTGTGGTCTGCATTAGGACGTTTCTGGTTTAGTTTGTGTGGTTTGCTTTACGGTGTTTGTAGTTTAGATTATGAGGTTTTTGGTGTGCTTTTGAAAATTTTGTGGTTTGATTTATGGGGTTTCTAGTATGTTTCAAGAGACGTGTGGTTTGCATTAGGAAGTTTTTTGTATGCTTTTTGTGGGTTGTTTTTATCGTGTTTGTGGTTTGCATTAGAAGGTTTTTGGTGTACTTTAAAATATTTGTGATTTGCTTTGTGGTATTTCTGGTATCTTTTAGGAGATTTATGGTTTGTATTAGGAGGTTTCTGGTGTGCTTTCGCAAATGCTGTGGTTTGCTTTGCGAGGTTTGTGGTTTGTTTTAAGAGATTTTTTATATGCATTAGAAGATTTTTGGTTTATTTTTTGTGTTTCTGGTTTGCTTTATTGTGTTTCTTGTGCTTTCATTTGCTGCAGAAGAAACACAACTAGTTAAGTTACTTTAACAGTGCTACTAGCAACGAATGGTAAATCAATTTACTATGTATCATCTGTATATTCAATTAGTGAATGGTAAGTTACTTTAACAGTGATACTCCCATCACTCCATCAGTCACATACTGGATCAGAAGCAAGCGCCAAACTACAAAACCGTGTCTGCTATCGATTACATCAAGCTCGTTGTAAGTTGTAAACTGGATGGCAAAGGCCTCGTTGATCAGATGAAGATACAAGGAGAAGCAGCACCACAGAATAAAAGCACTTGAAGCTTGCAGAGTCCAAAAGTATAGACAGTTGAATGTTCCAGATGTTCATTTCGTAACAATATGTAAGGAATATGCAGACAAGTAGAGCATTATCAACCAGAAGATTCCAACTTCCATCAGATATCTTAAGAAACGCACAACGAGGGATCACTTCAGGCCATCTTGATCATAATCTTCTCCCTTTCGGGTTATAGTTGAAAACCATTACAGTGCCTGGTATGGCTAAGGAAATGAGAGACTAAAGATTATTTTCTCAGATTAGAGCAAGTGAAAGCTCTTCATCGTTTCCCAAAACATATACCTGACTGATGCTGGAATCCCTGGGGCTGAGTTGCTTGTCTCTTCATCCAACGCCATCCTCATAACTTCTCGTGCCAGGTGCTCTATCAAGCTTTCGATCTCTTCCATGACTGCTTCTTCAGCGCTACTACTACATTAACAACTTTACGCAGAGACACAACATTTGGTTTCCCTCCCCGCCGCCGTAGATGGACATCGCCATCGGCCACTCCTCGGACTGCTACAACAGTGCCCTCGCCTGAGAAAACTCTGTTCTAGCCATTTCCGCCGATCTCGATGTCGTCGAATTCGTCCAGGACAGTAGGGGATTGGAGGAGCACTGCTTGCCTGAGATTGGAGGAGAAGGATCGACGCCTCAATTGTCGGAGGCGGCGTTCTCGACGGAGAAGAGACTACGGGAGGACCGAGGAGAAGCGGCCGGGAAAGATAGATCTGCGTAGGGGAGGAGATCGAGAGTCATCTAGAAATTGGGATACTTTAATTTAATTTTTATTTTATTAGATATAGGGGTATATTTACCCTTATACCCTTAATGAATGTTGTTGTTAGTATAACAATACCTAAGGTGTTGTTATACTATCCGGACCCAGTATCTTTGCCTATTATATCTCTCTTTCGGGATAGGTATTATTTACCACAAAACAAGTCAAACATGTTGAATAATAAGATGAGTCAAGTCGAAGTTGTCATCTGAGCGCGACTAGGTGAAAAAAGGGTTTTTTTTCAGAAATAACAGCTTTAAAAAAAATTACAAAAATAGCACACAGCCGAAAATATTTACAAAAATAGCACCCTTTTTTTATGGACCGCACCCTCTAGGTGATCGTTCCAAACATCCCTTGACCGATGGTTGGGTTGGTCGTACAAGTCGGTTGGATCCAACGGTCCTTGCTCGAGATAATACCGTTGGTTGTATATATCCACGTTGTCCCCAACCTATGAGAAAATAACAACGAGGTTAGTACATAGATTAATTAAAAAGCTTATAACAACAACAAAAATTAAACCTGAATAATGAGTACGTACCACTAGAAATTCATCAACATAAACTCCCTCTCTTGCCACCAATCGCTCATTTTTTCGGGAAATTCGGACAAAGATTCGACTCGGCGGGTTTTGAGGAAAAAACCTAAGAAATGTTTTCTTATGGTAGATCAGACTTAGTCGCAACCAACAGACCACTATTTCCTAGGCTTTTGGGAGGGGAGGGTTTAGAGAGATAATTCTAGAGATAGAGGGAAGAATGGGTTGTGGTGTGAATAAATGAGGGGGGAAGGGGAGGTATTTATAGTTATTAGACCGCACCCTTCAGGGGTGGTCTGGTAATTGTACCCCTAGCGAAACCGCTCCCTTACGATGCGGTCTGCTTTCCCGAGGCGCTAACCGCATCCTGCAAGTGCGGTCTAAAGCTCCACTACGCAGATTGCTGAGGTGGCGTGCGGTCCGCCCTTGGATCGCAGCCCCATCCGACGGTTTCCAACCCCGCTGCCCAGAAAACACAAACCGCACTTGGATGATGCGGTGCGTTTGCTGACGTGGATTGGACCGCACCTCTAAGGTGCGGTTTATAGTTAAAACGCACTGACCTGGTGCGGTTTATATATAAACCGCACCTTGGAGGTGCGGTTTGATTTAAAAGGTGTTATTTTTGAAAATATTTGCCGTTGGGTGCTAGTTTTGTAATTTTATTTAAAAGATGCTATTATTGAAAAAAAATCGTGAAAAAACCCCAATTACCAAACTAGCCCTAGGTAGTAAAAGAAAAAAGGGTCACTACTGTAATTAGCTTACTATGTCGGCCTTTTGGTATCTGGATATAATGGTGGAATTGGTTGTTCATAGAGTTTCTTATAATTCAAGTTTTTTTTTTTTTTTATAAAGGTGATATAGGTTTCATTTTGTTGTCATTAAGGCACTACTTAAGGAATTCGAACCTGAGACCTTCAGATTCTAGACTAGTGGTATTACCACTAGGTCAAACCCTTGTTCGTCTTATAATCCAAGTTATTACATGGACAAACAAACAGATGGATGATCCATTATGTATTAGTCGGAACTAGAGATATTGTGAGCATGGATGAGTCTAGTTACAATTTGGTTTTGCTATTATCCTTTTTCTTTTATTTTTATGAACCATGGAAAGGTATATTTCGTTGAAACTGCAATCAAGATGGTTAACAATTCAAAAAAGTTTAAGACAAAGTTGTATATTTTTTGCCATAAATGCAAAGTTTTATTTTATTCAAAAGAATAAGCAATCCATCAAACAATAAATGACTTCAAATCTAGTTACACAAAACCATTAAAAACATCAATGCACATACTAGGTTTCACTAGAAATATTCACCAAAATCATTACTAACATCAACATTTAAGTTACCACATCATATGAATAGTGAAACATTAACAATATGTCACTAAAGGATAATAATCGTCATCTCAATGTTATCATACACACACTGCGTTACCCATTGTTCACAAATAATTGACATTCGTGAATAAACTTATAATGCATAACTGAAAACTACTACGACAAAGTAAAAACAAAATAACGTTCTATTTTCGAACCCGCGGACGCAACTAGGGATGGCAACAAAACCCAAACCCACGGGTACCCACCCGACCCAACCCGGTCAACGCGGGTAAAATCCGTGTTGACGGGTTTTGGGCCGGGTTTGGGTTTAAACCCGTTCACTATTCAACGGGTTGGGTTGGGTTTGGGTTTAGGTAAATCCGGCCCGTGGGTACCCGCCCACCCATATAATTAATTTTTTCGGTATATTTAATATTCTAAACAACTAATCTTATTTATGTTTGTGGAGACATGTCTAATTTTTTCTTTTTAATTGTGTAGAATGAAGTTGATGTTATGGAGTGGAGAGTAAAGAAACTTAATTGAAAGGAAGAAGCTTTCAATTAAACATGTTATTTATGGATAATTTTTTATTTGCTTCAATTTTCTTGAGTTTTCTAGATTGGTGTTGAACAATTTGTATAGTTAATTTGTGATTTGCTTGAATTTTCTAGAATGGTGTTTTATATATGGATAATTTGTATTGAGAGATTGATATTTGACTTTAATTTTGATAAGAATTTGTAATTGTAAATTTTTTACGACAAAACCCGTGGGTACCCATGAACCCGCGGATACCCAACGGGTTGGGTTGGGTTTGAGTTTTTCAAACCCAGTGGGTTTTACCCCGGGTTTTTTTCAAAGATAAACCCATGGGTTTGGGTTTGGGTTTTGCAAAACCCGACCCAACCCGACCCATTGCCATCCCTAGACGCAACCTGCGGATATATGGGCTTAAGCATAGGAAGGCAGGCCCGGAAGAAGATTACAAGCCCAATAGAAAATGACCCCAATGCCAAAAGGCCGCAGCCATACGACGACACAAATAACCTGGGCCCGTATCGAAGTTCAAGCTTGGATATACGTTCCAGCCACTATTGCCAACCCAGCAACTTAACCGTTGGCTGAGTGCTTCGCAAAGTCTCAACCTTCTTTGTCTCCCCGCCGCCGCCGGCGTGACAGTTGTTTGTGTTTCAGTCCAGTTTTCTGGTTGGGTTCCGGATTCGATATCAAGCTTGCATCTTTCATTCTGGGTTCGTGGTGGAAATTGATTTAGGCAGTATCTATTGATGGCTGTCAGGGTCTCTCATTGTGAATGATTTCAATTCAAAGCAGTTCAGCAGCTCGGCATGGCTAGGATCATCCATCGAAACTGCTCTCTATTTCATTGGCGAAGAAGAAAAGCCGGTATGACTCGGTTCCCTTATTCTTCTGCTGCTATGACCCGCAATTCAACTACTCCTATGACCTCCAATTCTGTAACTTTCGCTAGCGTAGATGATGCCTTGGATTCATTTAATCGGATGCTCCAAATGAATCCCAGGCCATCCGGTGTCAAATTTGGTCAGTTGGTGTCATCTCTTGTTAGAATGAAGGCCTTCCAGGCTGCCTTCTATGCTTCTAAACGTATGGAATTAGCTGGAGTACCACACGATCGTTACACACTTGGCATGATGATTCGTTGCTTCTGTAAATTGGGTCGAGTGGATTTTGGCTACTCAGTTTTGAGCAAAGCTCTGAAACTCGGTATTCAATTCAACATTGTGATGCTCGGTACATTGATTGACGGGCTCTGTAAAGTTGGGAAAGTAATCGAGGCTGCAAGGTTGGTTCATAAAATTAGGATTTTGGGGTATCAACCGAATGTTTTCACTTATAGCATAATTATAGATGGACTTTGTAAGATAGGGCAAACGAATGCTGGACTTGAATTGCTTGAAAACATGAAGGAGTTCGGTTGTCAACCTAATGTCGTTAGTTACAATACAATCATCGACGGCCTTTGCAAGAGTGGGTTGGTATCGAAAGCTTTAGACGTATTTTCAGAGATGGAGGATAGAAAAACTCAGCCAAATGTTATTACTTACAATAGCTTGATTTATGGTTTGTGCATTTCAAGCAGAATCAACGTAGCTATGGAGTTGTTCAATAAAATGGTAGACAAGAAGATCATGCCTGATACATTCACCTATAACATATTGGTTGATGCTTTTTGTAAGGAAGGAAATGTTTTGGGAGCTAAAGTTATACTCAAAATGATAATTCGAAGAGGACTGCTTCCGGATATCGTCACTTACAATTCATTGGTGGATGGGTATTGTTTGCGCAATGAATTAGACAAAGCCAGAAAGCTATTTGATTTCATTGACAATAGGGGGTGCAAACCTAACGTTTACAGTTACAGTATCATGATTCATGGATATTGTAATACTAAAAGGATGGATGAAGCCGAACAGTTACTGAATAGTATGCTTGAGAAGGATTTGGTTCCGGATACGGTCACGTATAATACTATGATAAATGGATTTTGTCGAGTTGGGAGGCTTAAAGATGCACTACAAATTCTCAAGAAAATGAGTGGTGAGGGTTGTTCCCCGGATATCATGACATACAATAGTTTGCTTGATGACTTGTGTCGACAAGGTAAAATTGACGACGCATTAGCTTTGTTTCAAGTAATAGATAGTAGGTTGAAGTCTGATGTTGTTGGATACAGTATACTTTTGGATGGACTGTGGAAAGCAGGGAGGGGAGAGGAGGCAAGGGAAATGTTTTCTAGGCTCTCTAGAGACAACTGTTTGCAACCTGATGCTCACACATATAGTATAGCAATTAATGGACTTTGCAGACAAGGTTTTGTGGATGAAGCATATGATTTGTTCAGGAAAATGGAGGTGAATAGTTGTCTACCAAATAGTTGCTCTTATAACGTGATCATTCATGGATTTCTTCGTCATAAGGATCCACTTGAAGCAATAGACCTCATTCATGAGATGGTTTCGAAAGGCTTCTCTGCCGATTCAACCACGATGACTTTGCTAATAGAATTGTTGCCCAAGAATCAGTTGGATCATCCAATTCTCCAGAAGCTGTTGAATGGTCCTGATATCAAGAGTCATGAAAGAGGGTCCATTGGTCTATGAGCTGGTGCAACTCAAGAAACTTGTTGATATTCTCATCCACAGTCCAGTTGGATGATCCAGTAGTTCATCAAAAGCTCCTGGTGTCAAGAAGATTCTGAGGATCGAAGTTGATTGTAACTGTCTGAGTAATGATCCTTTCCATCTCACTTACATCTGAAGGCAATGAATATTGTTTCTTTTCTTTGTCATGGAAGGAAGGCAGAGGTTGCTGTATGATTCTGTTTTCCAGAACCCATGCTTGGCCTTGGATGATCACCCTCAACAGCAGCAGTAACAAAACTCTGGTATGGGCGGGGTTAATTCGCCACAACTAGAAAAAGGGAAGTCTTGTCCACGAGAACAAAACACAAGTTTCATCCATTAACAGATTACATTCTCCCCCATTAATGGAAAGCTTCTGTTCCTTTTCTTCTTTGTTTTCTACCTGCAGTATGGTGACAGTTTCTTCAAGGGTTGGTATTATGTATCATTGAGCTATGCAATTACTCTAGCGCTGAGCCACTGGCTGCTGCTCTTCTTGCTGTATAAATGAGCTTCCTTTCCGTTTCTGTATGAGAATAGACGATGATCCTTTACCGTGTTTCAAAGCGATTTCTGATTTGCAGTTTAGGTGTATGAATGAGCTTAGCTCACCTGCTTAGTAACATTATTGCAATGTAGCTCGAAAGCCGCGAATGGAGTTCTAGGGTTCTGTTGTTGTTAGAAATAATCTATGATCTATTATTTATGAATTATTAACAATGGTTTCGGGGTAGGATACGGTGACTAATCTTAAAAGGGTTTGATTTTTGACACCCCCTTCCTTATTGGTCCATTTTTCCTCAATTATTTGATAAGTATTAATGAAAGTTGTATAATTTAACACTGACATTAAATACACATTGGGAATTAAATAACTCACATTGACTACTTGTTTTTTCAAATTTAAACATACACTAAACACCATTCTCTCTCCAAAAATGCAAATAATCCCTCTTCTCTCCTCCCTCTCGTCATGCTTCCGTCGTTCTGATTTTTCGATTTTTGATTTTTCAGATATGACTTTTCGATTTTTCAGTTATGATTTTTGTACCACTGACTGATATTTGTACCACTGCACTTAAACTCATATATGATATTTTGTACCAGTAACTGGTAGCGTTACCAATGCACTAGTAGAGATACCACTACACTGATAGCATTATCAGTGCACTGGTACAAATATCAGATCTGAGTTTAAATGCAATGGTATAAATATCAATGCAGTGGTACAATGTATCACTGCACTGATACATTTTTTTAATGTAACGGTACATTTTTGCAGGTAGCCGAGGAAGTTTACCGGCGGGATTTCACCGGAAAAGTGTGACGGTCGAAGGCTGCTGGAAAAAGGATGAATGAGAGATAGAGAGAGAGAAGAATTGTATTTAATGTAGGTTAAATAAAAAAAACAAGTGATTAATATGGTGCATTTAATTCTCTATGTGTATTTAAGATGAATACCATCTATTTCAATAAAAACACAAATGTTTTCCATTCAAAAATAAATAAAAAAACTTAACAACGTTTTGCTTAAATTTTTTAATTGATAGCAAACCATTAATAATGCTATCGAAAATCCTTAATAAATTAAATGTATTCGGTGACAATTTTAAAATAGTTGTTAATAATAACTAGATTCCCCATTAATTGTCAACGATGAACAAACACAAAAATTTTGGTAAACGTGGTTGTATTCAGTTGATATAAATTAATAGTGATTGGCTTCAATTATATTTATTTTAGAGCTTTAATACAGACATCAAATTAGCTCGTGAGTGAATAAAAGGGAGAGAGGATCCAGTGACTACTTGACTAAGCCACTCTCAGCGGAATGGGTTAGGGTGATTACTTGTTTCTTAGTAATCGCGGTGGCAACCTCTTAATATACCATTTGATTAATTATTTTCCCTTCTTTTTTAATCTTATGGTCAAGATTCTTTTAGGGTAATTTTGGAAATTAAAAAGTGGCCACACCTGATTATTCTATATAATCTACCCAAACCCTAGCTCTATCCTCCCTCCAGCCAAACCCGTCGCAACCGCCTCCACGTACCACTCCCGCCGCACCGCCGACAGCAGCCCCGACCACCGCAGCGACCTCCCTCCTTCTCCGTCCATATTTATTCCTCTGCAGATCCTCCAGTTTCCCATATTGCAGAGTTCACAATATTTTGCAATCATTCCATTCCCCCAAACCCAAAAACCTCTTTCTCTCCTTCTTCCTAGTTTCCATACTACAATCGAGAAACAGTTCACAAGTATAAAGTCGAGGTGGTCATACCTTCATCACCAGGCGGCGGGATGGGATTCGACTTCAACGACGCCAGGCCACGGCCTTTCCTCAGCGCGCCAGCTTCCCTGCGACGGTTTGGCGACCTCACCCTCAGCGCACCGACCAGCCCGGGGACGTGGAGCATAGCGACGACGGTGACGTGCCTTTCCACTGGGAAGAGAAACCAGGGACTCCCTCCCTCCCTCTTTCTCTCTCTCTCTCTCTCTCTACCCGGCAGCGGGAGGAGCCGATGGACAAGCGATCTGTGTTCCGACCCTCTCGCCTCAATGGTATTGTTTTTGTCACATTGGTATTCATTTTTGTTGCATTGGTATACTTTTGTTCCATTGGTATTGATTATTATGTAATGATATTAATTTGCATGTATTGGTATTTGATTAAATCTGCAATGGTATTGGTTTTTTGTGAAATGGTAGAGATTTATATTGGTAGATTGTTTATATTGGTAGTTTTCGTGTAATGGTACATTTTTATTTCTGCAATGGTATTGATGTTTCCAAAGTGGTAGTGGTTGTCTAATAGATTGGTAGTGATTTCGTGTTTTTTTTCTTTTGCAGAAAGATTGAGAAAAATAAGGAAAGGAGATATGGCTGGAAATTATGGAAGTGAGAGAAAGAGAGAGAATTGTAATTAATAGATTCTAGTAACTACTTAAAATGTAATTTATTAAAAAAATTAATTAGTGCAATTTATTTTTCATACCCAATTTACCCTTAGTAACCATGGTGATTACTACAAACCATAACCTGTCCCCACTCTCAGCCCTTAGATCTGGACATAACAATTTGATGGTTAAAAAGTGGGAATAACTATTTAATTAATGATAGGGGTAGTTTGGGTTTTATGGAAAATTACGAAGTATACAAATCGGATTTACAATCAGTACAAACTAGAGCGACAAAACATACAAACATTACAAACTAGCGTTGGGCGTTATCTATAAGATATATGAAGCCAAAACAAGTGTTTAGTTTGCAGGGATTCAAATTTCCAGCCCGCAGAGGGTTTGTCGGAAGGGCACTATAGGCAATTCACACTTAAATAAAGCTGTGCGTTTCACCTCCAACACTCTCTGCGGGTGGACCTGGCCAGTTTATTATATAGTCGGACCGGGCTGTTGCCCCCTGAAGTATCCGGCCCAAACTATTCCCCCCTGACGTAGTCGGCCCAAAGACTGCTGGTGAAATGATTCCATCGAAATCTCTCGGAACCCATATTCAGCTGCTGTGGCAGTCCATGCCGTGTTTACTTCTTTCTCCATATCGCTTTCGGTCTCAAGCTCTGCAGTTCAATACTACATCTCCATATCGATTTCGGTCTCAAGCCCTGCACTTCAATACTACATATGCAATTGTGAGGGACGCGTGGGCGGAGGGAGTTGCTACTTCTCCAATTGAATTCCCCAACTCCTCCCCAGTTGTAAGTGTGAAGGGTGTGTGTCAAGAGGGGAGGGATTGGAGATGCGTGGGAGGAGAGAGCTTCTACAGCCTTTCGTGGTGGCCTAAGTAAACCTTTATTTTTGATCAATTAGCGCTTGCTGGTTCATGATTAAGTGTGATTGCAATCAAGATAATGTCCGGAAATCAACAAACTGGTGGAACCTCTTCAGTGCAAACCAGTGCTCCCAACCGTCGCAATTCAAAGGGCAAATGTAATTTGATTTCTTTGGTTTTTTCCATGTTCCGCTGGTATTGTACGTATTCAAAATGGACACCACATATACCTGCTGACTTAATTCTGTCGTATTTTGCAGGGTTCATGCGAGCTATATTCAACCCGCCAAAACCTCCTTCCAATAAACAAACCGCTGCTGAAAGGGATCGTCTTAAGCAACGTAGTTCCGCGATTCATTATTTGGTACATTAAATTAAAGTTTACTTTGGCACAAAAGCAGAATAATTTGATTTGTATATTTCAATTGCAGAAATACTCACCCTTCAATCACAAGTTGAGCATATTGATCGCTTGATAGCTAAATTCTATCGAAAACGACGACGGGAGATCTTGAACGCGCGCTTGCGACGTACTGTTCAATATATTCCACATGGTAAGCTTAGCATCTTTTAAACGCTTTTTATTATGCATACCATAGTCCATATGTGCATTGCGTTGTATATGTCGCGGAGCAGGATTCCACGTCGTCCTAATGGATTTAGTTCATGCATAATTAACTTTGTTACCACAGATTATAGTTCATGTATCTCCAACCTTCGGACAAAAAGGGCACGTTTAATGCGAGCGATTCATTTGTACAAAAGGCGGATGGTTAATGCTGTACCGAGGGGGTTCTCCCGTTCCCATGGTTTGTGGCATCATATTTTATATTTGTATATTGTAAATACGTATGCATCATGTGTGAGTGATCTTATGTGACTAATTTGATTGTAGGATATCCTGTTGTGGAACTTTTTAGTCTCGGCGAGCCTACAAGCATTTGTCAATACTGTGCAGCAATTATGTGGGTGCAAGAAAGTACGGTTCCTACTAGGAGTCGTGTTAATCCCACTTTCTCATTGTGTTGCAAGGCTGGAAAGGTAAAACTACCCCCTAGACGTGCTCCACCAGAGTTTTTGAATGAATTGTTACATTCTTCTACACCTATGAGCCGTCATTTCCGGGAAGCCATTCGTAGATACAATGCTGTGTTTTGCTTTATCTCCCTGGGCGGGAAAGTGGATCGTGGTAT